GACTATCCGGATTATTCATACATGAACAAAGCGGTACTTCACTTTTTTGATATGAAAAAAATGCTTACAAATAACATTTTTAATTACTTCCTCTAACTATCAAAGCTACCAGCTTCATTCGTGCCACTCTTTGTTCATACATTTTTTGGGAAATGGAAATTTTTTTAAATCTTAAAGTTAAACTTTTAAAATTACTTTTCTGCAAAAAGGATCTCTCTAACCACATCGACGATTACCGGTCTTTACGATGTGTTCTTCATTACACTATTATTTAAACAAAGTTTTACGATTCATAATGCAACTTAAAATTATTAAATTAACAGTGGTTTCTGACAAAATGAAAAAACGTGATCGATGTAGTTTTTCATTGTTCATCATACATCGTTTGACTGTATTTCACAACACTTTCGTCCCCATACATTTTTCTCATAGGGTAACGCTGAACTTTCGTCACATGACGAAATTCTCTCGGCCTGTGACAAAAATTCTCGGCACGTGACAAAAGTTCTTGCGGCATGGGACGAAAGTTTAACCATGTTTGAATAGTAGTTACGAAAGTTAACCCGTTATGTGACGAAACTATCTGGTTTTTTAGACAGGTCGGCACTTTCGTCACATGTTGCATGAAACGGCTGCGATGAAATCAAGGTTGCAGTGCAAAGCTCATTAGTCAGAAAGTGAGTTGTGACGATAGTTGTAGGTATGTTACACAATTGGTTACGAAAGTTCACCACTCTAGTGACCAAACTGTGGATGGTACTTCCCGAGAAATGCTATACACTTTCGTCACGTGTGACGAAAGTTCTTTTCTTTATGCGACAACAGTGCTGTCATCTCTTTTAACTCATTTTCAATTAGGCGAATTTGCTTAAAAACCGACGAGTTCCTGTATTCTCTTCTCACAGTTTGTTTTTGAAAAAGAAAAGACAATCTCATTCTATATGCAGGCAGACTGTGAGAGTATAATAGTAAATCTTCTTGAGAATGAAAAAATGTATGAACAAAGAGTGGCACGAATGAAGCTGGCAGCTTTGATAGTTAGAGGAAGTAATTAAAAATGTTATTTGTAAGCATTTTTTCATATCAAAAAAGTGAAGTACCGCTTTGTTCATGTATGAATAATCCGGATAGTCGGGATATCTGATTGCTAAACGGGATGCTCTGGTTGCTTTTTGGTGAGCACCTATATATCAGTCTGCTTAAGTGGAAGTTATATTTTAGAATGATATTCCTATTTCTTTTGCATAATCTCAATTCATAGGAGAAAGATAGAAGCCTTTGTTTAGAACTTTTACTTACTGCCGAATAATGGTTTATCTACTCTAGGATAATAAGTAACTTATATTAATTGTAAAAGATAAAATCTGCTTGATGTGATCCAGATGTGTAATCTGATACATTTATTCCCTCTTATTTAGTTAATGATTAGACGGAAAAATTTATTATGCATGACCATTTTCAGCATAAAAAGATGAAAAGTTAGAACCGTAATGTTTCTCTCTGAAAAGGGAAAAAAAATGTTTCTTTTGTAAAGCATTACCTTATTATGATTTTTTACTCAGTGAAAAGCCAGTATTAGATAACTATGTTATTTAATAACTAGTTTGAAAATAACACCTATAGGGAAATTCCAAGAATATTTTTCTTAAGAACAGCGAAATGACTGAGAGAGAAAGAGGCCTATAGTTACTACACTAAATAAAATGTCGTCGAACGATCCACGGATAAATACACTAAATTTTGTATCTGTGTTCTTTGCGCGTTATGTTTTAAGTGTTTTATTTCTACTTGGATTTATCGGTCTCACACTCAATACTCTTGTATTTACACGCAGAGTATTACTTCAAAATTCTTGCGCACGTTATTTTTTAGCATCCACAATAGCCAATTATCTTGTTGTCTATTTTGTTATACCAAGTCGTGTTTTATCTGATGGTTTTAATGTTGATCCCGGAACATATTCACTAGGCTACTGTAAATTTCGATTTTATATCTATTTTACATGTAAATCTCTCTCATCATGGTTCATTGTTCTTGCGTGTATCGATCGCTTTAAGTCCAGCTCTCGTAATTTTAAATGTCGGCAATTTAGTCGTTTATCCGTCGCTCGAAATAATATTGTAATTACAACAATTGTTTGCATATTATTCTATTCTCATGTACTTATCTTTTACGACAATCGAAATGGTATTTGTGATTCATTAATAGGTATCTATCGAATGTTCGATGATACCTGTTACCTTATCGGTTACAGCATCGTGCCACCAATATTAATGAGCGTATTCGGTGTTTGGACAATCTATAATATGCATCATCTAAGACTAATTGCACCCAAATCAACAGGATCTAGAGCTGCCGTGATGATGAAGAGAAATCAACAATTAGCATTTATGTTATTGTTTCAAGTCATATTTATAACATTGACCACTGTGCCGCATGCAATTCAAAAACTATATAGCACATTGACATCCGATTTTGTCAAAAGTGATCTTATCCTTGCACAAGACAATTTCTATGCAGAAGTAGCTCGTGTAATATCGTTTCTTAATCATACATGTTCATTTTATATCCTAACACTATCAGGCAAAACATTTCGTACCGAACTGGTTAAGATGTTTGAAAAAATTCAACATTATTTTACGTTGCATCGAAATACAACAGTTAGATGTGTTCCATTAACAAATATCAAAGTAAATGGAACAACAAATTAGCGTTGAGTATCACAAACACATTTTGTGGGATTAAAAACATCACTTTGTTCATCGAGAACAGAGATCAGCACGGGGCATGTTAGAAAATTTTATTGAGTGATCAGGCTGGGTCGCGCTTGGATCGCAAAGTATTTTGATCAGGTTGAATCAGACCGAACTCAGAATTTGTAGCGTAGATTTGTAATTTATGTGTGAACTTTTTCGAATCTGATTCATTGATCACAACATTAGCACTGTTATGGAATACGACGAGCAAATCGTACTGTGCGTATTAAGTTACCATATTTAAGTCGATGTTTCCGTCTACAACACTACAGAGCTGTATACCGGTGATCTGTATGCCGTTCCAGTCTGGTACTGGTATGGTTCTCATACCAGTTCGTCAGTGTTGCAAAAAAAACGAATAAAAGAGAAAAACATTGAAAAAAAGTAAAATCGCCTCATTGCAGAATGGTTTCTACGCGCTGAAGAGGATCAACGCGCTTTTGTACAAAGAACGACTAGCAGTCCTATAAGTCTGGAAGTTTTCCTCTATTTTTCATCATTTTTACGGTTTTCTACCGGTTTTGGAATGTTCTATACGGGTCAGCATCTTCTGGTAGAAGTTTGCATGCCGGTTCCAACTCTGCAACGGTACTGCCACTGTTCACAGTCAACCTGATATAGAAATTTTGATTCGAAGAACTGATATTTTCTCGCATAACATAAACCAATGTACAAGCACTAGAGAAGAGAATGGACTATATTTGTACAGCGAGACTTGTTTGAGAACAATTAAAATACCACAGCATCACGTAAGATCGAGGAATAGCATCACGCCATCAGCCGATTAAAATATTGAGCAATATATCCCCTAGAAAGCAGTAGAAGTCCAAAGTTTTTGGTTTTTATAGCTTTTTCAGTCCTACTAATTTCTACATAGTGGAACCTTTATAACTTCGAGTCGAAACAAACGGTCCACCAAAACTTATGCTAGAAATGACTATGCTGGAATAACCTAGACTACTTTCGTTCAAGAAGCTTAAAACTTGACCACGGATGCCTGCATGATTTATCTTAATATCTATGGATTAAATATTTTCAATATCAAGTTCAGTCAAGTGTTCAGCAGCATGTAAACATCTTGATCATAATAAACATCTATTCAAACCTTATACCTCGAAAATACAAATTATGCTAAGTGTTTTTAGTTTATGAAAGCATTCATTGAACAGTTTGAAAAGTATGGTTCAAGAGTAGTCTTTATTTTCTCGTAGTCCGGTGCACTGTAAAAAAGATCGTCTTTCTGTTTTGTGCAAGTTACTGGTTGAAGAAATACTTTTTATTCAAGCCTTTTGAAATATATAGAACTTATTGTTTTTTTTTCAATAAGAAACGACTTCTAGAACTGCAAGAAGGAAAAACAACATCATAGACGCCAATCACCACTGGCTTTGTTCATTCTGAGCTTGATATACATAATGCACGTGATAATTTCTTACAAACATTTCGACTTGTTCTCGAAGCTTTAACTAACGGCCTATGCATAAGTTTTGTAAAAGATATCGAGCGCTGTTTCTTCATGTTTACACTATTCTAGAGATTTCACTTTTTTTTGTGTGATATAGCAAAGTTTGAACAAGAAAATGTGCATCAAACAAAGTTTTTTTCCTCAAAACTTTATTGAGAAAAACTTCAAAAACTAAATATCACTAAAGTTCCAGGAAAATTTTACTAAAACAATCAAAATCTTTTCAAACGCTTTTCTGAAACGCTTGCTAAAAGTCAGCTTTTGAAAATCTAGATGTTGCATCTAACATCTGGGTCTACCAGCACAGGTGTCACATTAAACCGGAAGTAAATGAGCTTAGATTTTATTTTTTATAAAATTGTTAAAAATTGAATGAATATCAAGATTTAGTTCAAAATTGGAAAATATTCATCTGTTAATTCAAGAATCGGCAATTAATGCTAACTAATTGATTTTCTAACGGTGGCCATACAAACGATTATTTCTTCACGGAAACCAAATAAAAAGAAAATCTACAGTACACTGTTCGAAAGAGCGTTTCAGACGCTCTCGGACGTAATAATCAGTCATTCTTCAAACTTATCTTTAAACAAGAAACGAACCATTTCGAAGAAGATAGAGAACGGACATTTTGACAATTTACCAGAACATTTTTAGTGATGTTTAGTTTTTGAATTTTTTCTCAATAAAGTTTTGCGAGAAAAAAAATTACTTGATGCACATTTCGTAGTGCTCTTTCAAACAAAAAAAGAGAAATCTGTGAACATGAAGAAACAGTGCTCGATATTTTGTGCAAAACTTATGCGTAGGCCGTTAAGTACTACGGGGTAACCCATAAATAGTGGGGTAAAATCCTTTTCTGTTTTTAAGTCTTAAAAGCAGTTCTAAGGTTTTGATCTAAATTCAATCAATGAGAATTTATTGTATTATAATTATCTACAAAACTGTCGGTTTAGTTTTTAAAAAGACACGTCTTGAACAATCGTCTTGAACGACCCTACCGCTCTAACTCCAAATGGGCAAATTCATTTGAAATGTCCCATCAATACAGCAACTTTCTCCGCTTCATTTAAGACCAATCTAGTTTTATAGAGCACATCAAATTACGTTAGAAACTGTTTTTTTTCACTTCATAGCTGAT